TTCGGAAAGTCTGACCGGATTCGTCAGATCATTTCAATGGTCTCAGAGGCGGCGAAGCAGAGTTTGAAGAAGAAGGGGATGCATTTTCCGCCATGGAGGAAAGCTGATTACATGCGAGCTAAATGGCTGTCTTCGTACACCTGAAACTCCGCCCAGGAGCCGCCGGTTTCTTCCGCCGCTGTGGTTGAACCGGAGCTAGATAAGTCGGAGATTGAGCTGAGTTTTGAGGAGAAATTTTTGTTGTCGGTGTAATCTTCTTCCTCTCCTCCTCCGTTGGTTACTGGAAATGATAATGTGGCAAAGCTGTTGGAGAGAGAAGCGAAGGTTGTCACGGGATTAGCTTCACTGTTCAAAGAAAATCCCTAAAAAAATTTTTGGATTTCTAATTTTCCTAATTTTCTAGTTAAAAATTTGAGAAAATCTGCAAAAATAAAGAAAACAAAAAAAAAAATGAGAGTAAAAAGCATATAAAAATATAACAATAGTATATCTTTCTCTTTTTGGGACATCTTACTTTCTGTTAAAAATGATTTTTTCACCACGATATTTACCTATCTTTAATGTGATGATGTGTAGGTTTTTATACCTTTTAATTATGTTAGTTTATGTTTGTTTTCCCATAATAGATGACACTTCCTCATTTCATTTTTTTTATCGACTACCAACTATTACATTGTTGGCTGGGCTGAAGGCAGTTTTCTGAACTGTCCTCAATCGATTCGGTATGATCGATGTGGGTGAATATTTGTCATCTTGCTCAGGCTCCTTTTGCAAGACTGTCTGCCCGGACATTTTCACTTCTCGGGATGTGGGAGATGGTGAAATCTGAGAAGCTCTCACGAAGGATACGTAAATTTTCTAGCTCAGACGTAAAAAGCAGCCAATCAGATGGGGATTCTGTCATATTCACTAGATCGGAACAGTCGGTCAGAAAAAACACCGCTCTTATGTGCCGTTCTCTCAAGACTTCCATAGCCCACAAGAGACAATCCATCTCCGCATGGAGGGCGGAGAGGCTTCTGCGGCATCCTTGTTGACCAGGCTCCACCCGAGTCTACTAACAGGGTCGTGATCAATCCAAGAGGCATCGATCCAACATGTTGGAACTCGGTGGTTCGCGGGGGTAGGTATCTGGGGGGCGGGGGGGCTGGGGTCCCACCGGGTATATCCTCGGCTTCCTCTGGTTGGTTCGCGATTCTCCAGCTCTCTGCTTCTACTTTTGCGTAGATCAAAATGTCTTGTGGGGAAATTGATTTCCTGTTGGAAATTTTGTCGTTTTTTGCTTTTCAAATGAGCCATAGGATCCAAGGATATACGTCTTTTTGAAGATCCGTCATACCTATCTCTTTTGTTTGCCAAAAGAGAAAGCTCATATTTTGATAAATAGATGTACTCAGGAAAAGGCCCGAAAAGGACGGGAAGTCCGATAACGCCCAGACTTGAAATGCCGGGGGACATAAAAACAAAAGGTGATTTATAGATTCTTCGGGATCACCGCAACGGGGACAGCTTGTGTCGGATCCAAGATGTTGGTATGTTAATTTCTGGCAGGTAGCCACACATTCTGATAATGCTTGCCACATGAAGTGCTTCATTTTGCAGGGTAAGCGGGTTTTCCAAACCTGACTTTGCAATACCGTAATGCTTGGTTCCGCAACTATTGTGGGTTTCCATTGTAATTTTGTCCTCCTAATTAGATCATAGCCCGTCTTAACCGAATAGAGTCCTGATCTGGAATGGTTCCATGCATATCCATCCAGGATACGGATATGACTAGGTCTCAGTCTTAGGATCAGAGAGACATCCTCGGGTTGGAAAAAATTCCTCAGAAGGGGAACATCCCACTCCTTTATATCTTGTCGGATAAAATAGTAAACCAGTAATCCCGGATCCTGATAGCCGATCTGCGGGGTGGCTCTCGCCGGCCGAGCTCTAATATCTGGGATCCGTGGTTGCTCCAGACTCTTGTGTTTAGACCCGACTCTATCGTCTTCCGCAATCCAACATTAGATATGGTTTCGCAGCTAAAATGCTCCGCCACCCGTAGAACGGGGAGTAGACTCTACAATCTTCCAATGGGTCGGATTGTCTATAGTATCGTCCTCGTAAAACCCTAGCCAGCAAAGACGAGGGGTATTGAATGAGGCGCCATAGCTGTTTAGCTAGAAGGGCTAAATTGAAATCTTGTAGATCTCGGAAACTTAGGCCTCCCATATCTTGGGGAATACATATCTTGTCCCAGGCTATCCAGTGAATCCCTTTGTTATTTTGTTTCGAGCTCAACCAGAAATTAGCAATGGCACTCCATAACTCATCAGTCACTCCTTAGGGAATTAGGAAGCATGACATGACGCAACTATGGACAGTCTGGGCGACCGATTTAATCTGAATTTCTTTTCCACCTTTGGAAAGAAGTCTCGCAGACTAGGAATTCAATCGGTTACTTAGTCGATCATGGACGTAGGAGAAGACTTTATTTTTTGATCCACAGATTTGTTCTGAGAGCCCCAGATACATACCCCTAGTACCCTCTGTCAATATTCTGATAGCGTCCTTGATAACTTGCTTCAATGTCGTATCAACACGGTTCACGAACATGACAGATGATTTGCCTAAATTCAGTTGTTGTCCCGAGGCTGAGCCATATGTGTTGATGATCTTAAAGATCTCGGTTCCTTGTTGGATATCAGCTTGACAAAAGAACAAGCTATCATCCGCAAAAAGTAGATGGGAGACTGGTGGGCTTGCTTGGGCTATTTTTAGCCCCAAAATTCGGTTTTCCCTTTCTGCTCCATTTAGGAGTGAGATCAGGACCTCGGTACAAAGGATAAACAAGAACGGAGAGAGAGGATCTCCTTGTCTTAATCCTCGTGTCGAGGATATATGCCTTTTTGGTTCTCCGTTTATCAACACTTGGTAGGATACCGAGGAGACACAGAACATCAGAAGCTTAACCCATCTCTCAGAGAAGCCCAATTTAATCATTACAGCTTTAATGAAGCACCATTCCACTCTATCGTATGCTTTGCTCATATCGATCTTGATGGCCATAAAGTTTTTTCTACGAACCGAGTTAGTGCAAAGTGCATGAAAATTTTCTTGTGCCAACAGAATGTTACCATTGATCAGCCTCCTAGCCATGAAGACCGATTGGGTCTCTGAGATTAGACTAGGTAGTGTCTTTTTAAGTCGTTTACATATGAGCTTTAAGATTATCTTATAGCTCACGTTACACAGACTAATCGGACAGAACTCTGTCATAGCTCTAGGCTTCTCTTTCTTGGGGATTAGACATATGTTGGTCTGATTTAGTCTGGGATCAAAAGATCCTGAGTTGAAGAAATCCTTTACTAATTTCACAATGTCATGGCGGAAATCCTGCCATAATCTTTGGTAGAACTTGCTTGTCTTTCCATCAGGTCTCGGGGCTTTGTCGAAAAGAGCTTCTTTAATTTCTACTTCTATGGGGTCTTGGATGAGACGCTGGTTAAAAGACTGTGATACTTTCTCGGTGATAAACCAGAGTGCATTATGTGGGTCTGGGGGTTGTGACGAGGTGAAGAAATCTTGGAAATAGTGGGAGGCTACTCGTTCAATACCTTGTGCATTTTCCACCCAGTTCCCATTTCTGTCCCTCAGGGCGACGATTCGGTTCCGGCTTCTCCTTTGTTTCGTGATCGCGTTAAAGAATTCTGTATTTCTATCCCCAGCTTTCTGCCATTGTTCGCGACTCTTTTGTTTCCAGAATGTTTCTTCCTCCCGTAGAGCAGTACAAAGGTTTCTTCTAATTTCTTCTACTTCTTCTAATGTAGAATTTTTGTCGTCTTGGGCCGCATTCAGTTTTGGTTTTTGAGTTCCTCTATTATCTTCTCAGAATTAGAAGATTGGGACTTTCTCCACTTAGAGATACTCTTCCGACAATTGGCTACTTTGCGATGGAAATCCTGACATAGAATTCCATCCAAAGAGCTCCAGTCGGAGATTACCGCCTCTTTGAACCCTGGTTTTCCCAACCATCTTTTATCAAATCTAAAAGACTTCTTCCTTCTTCGATTATCCACTTGGATTCTGGCCATCACGGGATGATGATCTGAACCCCATAATTTAAGGTATTCCACCGAGGTGTGGGGGAAGATTGATTGCCATTCTTCATTCCCCACCGCTCTGTCAAGGCGACACTTGACCTTTCCGTTACGTCTTTTCCCGACACATGAGAAAGAATTTCCTTTAAATGGAAATTCGAGCATCCCACAATTATCTAACATATTTCGGAAATGAATAAACGAGTATTCCGGTCTCCGACTTCCCCCCCCCTTTTCTCATGGTTTCCGTAGATTTCATTGAAATCCCCAATCATAAATCATGCTTGTTCTCTGGAAAGACTCATTTGGGTGAGACGTTCCCATACATATTCTCGGTTTTTGATGACCAGATCTCTGTAAACGAATGTCAAAAAGATTTTATGTCCGTCTAGAATGGTTTCTACATCAATAACGTGTTCATCCGAATAGGAGATAGTAACTGAAGGTTCATCCATATAAAAAAGGGCTAGACCGCCGCTACGACATCTCGGTTCAACGGTATAAACATGGTCATAGCCAAAGTATATTTGCATATCTTGAATAAAAAGCCGATTGTTTTTAGTTTCTGATAAAAATAAAAAACGAGGAGAAAAACAATGGTGCAATTCTTCTAGGTGATCCTTCGTCAGATCGGCTCCCGCCCCCTGACAATTCCAGCCTATCACATTCATGGATGGCGTTTAACCAATTTTTGGGCTTCCTCCCCACCGGTTGCAGAGTTTTGTTTTTGCTTCTGGGCCTTGGAGCCCTTCTCTCCCTTGGGCTTATCTTCTTGATTTGCAGTTGGGCCTGGACCTGCTTTTGGGCCTTTTCCTTTCCCCTTAGTCTTTGGAGAGACACGGCCCATAGGAAAGTTCTTCTTCTTCAGGGATAAGCCGCGAGCCGCCGGCGATCCCAGAGTCGGTTTCTCTCTTCCGGTCACCCTGGTGCTCTGTCCGCTACCGCCGCCGGTTTCATCCCGAACTCGGTCTTTTCGGGGCTTCTGTACCAGGAAGCAACCTGGAAATTCGGCGGATTCGCCTCTGTTATCGCGAGCTCATCGATTATCTCCTGGTCTTCTCCTTTTTGGTCGTTCTCAGGGCTGTCTGCATCTTTTAGGAGTTCGTCCAGTTCCCCTTCATCAAAGAGATCATCATCATTCATCCATTCATCTTCCTCATCAAAGCCTTCAATTGTTTCATGGTTGATGAGCAAAGCTGGATCCTCCATAAGCTCATCATCCATGGGCTCGTTCTTCAAGGCATTATGATTGGTCCTTAAGTCTCCGCCTGTGTCCATAACCACTTCCATCAGAAACTCGAGCTGTTCGTCGCCGTGCTTTGATGTGGTAAGAATCATAGCTTCTATATCTTTTTCAAGAGTCTGTTCATACCAATTTTCGTTGATACATGGTTCCAATGGGGGTAGAGTCATCGCATTGCTAAGCTTAGGCTGGCCTACAAAAGAGTTTGATTCAATTGGGATTGCAGGTTCAAAAGTGAGAGCTTTTTTCGCTGAGTTGCCTGCTTCTGAAGATTCACCGGTTTCAACAATCTTCCCTATCCCCAGATTTGTTGCCTTGCTGGTAAGGGAGAGGTGGAATGGTCGACTACGCGTGTGCCCCGGAGAAGAAAATCCCTGTTTAGCTTTGGCTGGAGGATCAGAGATAGTTCTCTGAGAGTCAGAAGACTTAGCCGGCATTTTTGGGAATCTCGCCAATGGAGGTTTAGCGGAGGAATGGTCTTTTCCAAGTATCTCTTTCTGCTTGTTCTTTCCCATATGTTTCTTGCTTGTTGCAAAAGATTCTTCATATCGTCTCTTTCGATATCCAGGTTCATTATCTCTTGAGACTTCTCTGATATTGGGATGAATTTCATCTATGGGTTCATGTCTTCTTTCGTACCGTCTTGATTCAGAACGGTAACCAGAGTTTGTTTCAATTCTGTTCCATACGCTATGAGGTCTTCTGTTAAAAGGGCGCCTTTCCTTGGGTATTTGGTTCCCTTTCTTATCCTTCAGTGGGTTAGAGCTTCCCTCTTTGGCCTTTGTCGAGATTTTGCGGGTTTCTTTCTGCAAAGGGAGGGTGTTTCTGTCACGAAGGGGTAGAGATATCTGGCCTGCTTGTCTTCTCATTTGCATAACATCTTTGTCGCGTATCAAGTCTTCTCTCGATGCTTGAGCTAAGTTCCTCTCAGCCTCTCTTTCCCTCATCTTCTCTCGTCTTTGATCTTCAGTGAGCAGGGGGCAAGTTCTCTCGTCGTGAGAGATGTGTCTGCAGGTGAGACACCAACGATCGAGCTTCTCATACTTCATCTCTACCCGAATCACTGCGCCGGATTGTAGCCTTGCCCTTGCTGTGAATCTCAAAGGTTTATCTGCATTCAAGGAGATTTGGATCCTTGCAGCTCGCACATCAACAACTCTTACATCAGCCAGACGATTTCCAATGACACGGAAGTTTTCTTCCATCCAGAAGTGTGTAGGAATCCCCGAGATTCTAACCCAGAAAGTCATGTTATTGGGGAAAGACTCCCCAACATGAGGGATCCAACGTTCCAAGGAGAAAGACCAGCGGTTAAAGTGACATGGGCGCTTGCTGAACACACGCTGAAGGTCGGCTTCCGAATCGAAGTCAAACTAGAACCGGGAGTTTCCAAGATCTATCCCGTGCACTCTGCCTTCAACGTCCCAGATGTTCTGTCGAGGCATAAAGGTGATAAGAGCCTCTATGCTACGGATATCTTGGTTAAACATGCGTCCAACCAGACTTAAGTTGAAGTGAGCGATGAGTTGAGAGTTGTCCACATGGGGTAAGTCGATGATCTCTTCTTCATCTTCGTCGTGGTTCTTGTTAGCAAGATTCTTGTTGTTCTCCATAGTTGTTAGATCTAGGATGTTGAGAAGGAGGTTCTGGTTTGAGTTTGTAGCAGATGAGTTAAGACTTAGCACAATGCTAGAAACAGAGATTTAACTTATAGAGTAACAAAAGCATCCCACGAGGGAGAGGTCTTCGGTATGCTCGTGAGCTTGAGGTAGGATTAATTGAAATCAGCTTTTCGTCTTGAGCCAACGGATTTGATTTTTGCAGGTACAGAGGATTACTTGAGAATACACGCAAGGAAAGAGCTGTTTTTAGCTATCTTTCTAAGTCTTAGCTAAGGCCAGCTCATGGAAAAGTTACTTGTTTCAGGTTATTTTAACTTCCAAGACCTTAGAGAAAGAGACTTTTGACGAGAATTGGGGCCCGAGGCATAGTAGAGGCTGGCGTAGGTCCGGCGGATTGGAAGAGAGCATAGCTATTTGGGAAAGAGAAAGTAGATGTTGAATGTCAAAAGCAAAATTCAAACATTTTGGAAAAGTCTCGGGAAGAGGGCCTGAGAGCGGTTTTGGTACACTTACCCCCTCATTTCATTTTGTAAGTAAAAAATGAAGTTAAATTAAAAGCTTCTTCTCTTCATCGCTTTACAAACAAATCTTACTTTATCAATTATAGTTTACAAAGGAGATTGTGAATATATATCGGCTATACGTCACCAAGTATAATTAGATATCATGAACCGGTAACTGGAGATATGTTTACAGAACGTTTTGCCGATTGCCACTTTGATAAAAATGAATTCCCAGCGTTGGGGTAGGATCAAGAGAAACGCCAAAGGATATCACATGGTGTACACAAATCTTGGCTTATCTTGATCCCCCTACCCATCAACGCGAGGTTGAAGTTCAGAAAATTATGCATTTGCAAAGTTTGGCAAACCAGTTACCTGATGCGTTCACAGATACGAGAAGGGTGACGAAATCATATATCCCCGCTGCTAATGCTCCATCAAAAATAAATGTTCCGGAACAAGTTATTGATGGGAATAAAGCAAATGAACCGCATATTCAGTTAAAGCCGCGGGAGGCCGATGGGCTCGAAAGATAAAAATCCTCGAAAGAAAAAGAAATTGGGAGACAAGGTTCCAGAAGAACCGAATAAAGAAAAATGTCTTGAAGACATTGGTGAGAAGGTTATAGAAGAACCATATAAAGATATATGTCCTGAAGACATACATGAAGATGTTCCAGAAGAACCAGTTAAAGAAGTTCGTCTAGAAAACGAACATGATACTGAAAAGTATGAAATTTCCATTAACTTCGCCCAAAGTGGGACATTATGGGCTAGAAGTGAAATAAATGATACATATGGAATGTTCTCCTTTTTGGTATCCAAGGAAATTGATAATGAATATGATGATCCAGACCCAAGGTCCATGTCAGGATGCCAGAAAATGCCTGACTGAAAGAAATGGCAGATGGCCATGAGAAATGAATTAATCTTCCTGAATAAAAGAAATGTCTTTGGACCTATAGTCATTACACCAGAAGATGTAATGCCAGTCGGGTGCAAATGGGTCTTTGTGAGAAAAAGAAATGAGAAAAACGAGATCACAGGATATAAAGCCCGACTTATGGCACAAAGTTTTTCTCAAAGACCGGTAATTGATTATGAAGATACATATTTTCCGGTCATAGATGCAATCATATTCAGGTACTTAATGAGCCTAACGGCATCTTAAAATCTAGAAATGTACCTTATGAATGTTGTGACTGCATATCTATATGGATCACTTGATAATGATATATATATGAAAATCCCAGAGGGAGTCAAGATCCCAGAAAGATCAAAGATGCCTGAAGCATCTAAAGATATATGTTTGGTCAAATTACAGCGATCACTTTACGGATTAAAACAGTACGGACGCATGTGGTATAATCGCTTGAGTGAATACTTGTTGAGTAAAGGATACATCAACAATGCGATATGCCCTTGCGTGTTTATTAAGAAATCCTCATCAGGATTTGTGATCATTTCTATATATGTCGATGACCGGAACATAATCGGAACTCAAAAGGAGATTGATGATGCAAGAACTCACATGAAAGAAGAGTTCGAAATGAAAGATCTTGGAAAGACAAAATTTTGTCTAAAGCTCCAGATTGAGCATTTCCAAGATGGAATATTTGTGCATCAATCAAATTACACCAAAAAGGTGTTAAAACACTTTAAAATGGATAAAGCAACTCCTTTGAGTACTCCAATGGTCAATAGATCACTTGATATTAACAAGGATCCATTTCGACCTTGTGAAGATAGCGAAAACGTATTAGGTCCTGAAGTACCTTATATGAGCGCTATTGTGGGCTTATGTATCTTGAAAATTATACTCGGCCAGATATAGCTTTTGCTACTAATCTACTTGCAAGATACAGCTCATCTCCTACGCGCAGGCATTGGAATGGGATAAAGCATATCTTTCGTTATCTCCAAGCGATCTCGTGGCGTTCTCAAAAACAGACTTTGGTCGCCACTTCTTCAAATTATGCGAAAAACATTGCTCTCCATGAAGCATGTAGAGAATGCATATGGCTCCGATCTATGACTCAACATATACAAGGTGCAAGTGGAATAGTCATCGATACGGAACTAACAAAAGTGTTCGAAGATAATGCTGCGTGTGTCGCTCAACTCAAGGAATGTTTCATAAAGAACGATCGAACAAAACATATTCCTCCAAGATTTTTCTCTTACACTCAAGAACTCGAGAAGAATCAAGAAGTGGATATCCATTATGTTCGCTCGAGTGACAATGCAGCAGATCTCTTTACTAAGGCGATTCCCACTACATCATTCAGAAGACATGTCCATAGTATTGGAATGCGCCGACTGCAAGATCTATGAAGAAAATTTATATTCATCACTTTGAGAGAGAGATTACGATATTGTACTCTTTTTCCCTTGTCATGGTTTTTATCTCAATGGATTTTTCTATGATAAAGTTTTTAACGAGACAGTACGTAATATGTTATTAGTGATGGATAATCAACATGGAGTGTTAAGGAAATGATTTTCCACCATAATATTTACCTATCCTTAATGTGATGATGTGTAGGTTTCTTTACCTTTTAATTGTGGTAGTTTATGTTTGCTTTCCCATATAAATAGATGACATTTCCTCATTTCATTTTGTAAGTAAAAAATGAAGTTAAATTAAAAGCTTCTTCTCATCATCCCTGTAAAATTTTCGCATTGATATTCAATTATCCCCAATTTCTAACCTAATTGGTTCAGCCCATAATTTGATGCCCTAGAGTTCGTTAAATTTTTAAATTAATTTGGGGCTTTCGATTCTCTTGCTAAAAAATGATTGAATTTTGGTTTTGGACTCTTGACTTCATAATTTTAGTCGTAAATTGAAAATATTAGGGTTAGGGTTGCAGTCAAATTTAGAGATTTTTTTTTTATTATGAGATTCATTGATGGAAGAGGTTTTCAACAAAGTGTTCTTCACTGTTCATAAAACACAAAAATATTTTTAAAAAATAACTAAGCACCCCTTACACCAGCTCATTGATGGAGGTGCTTTAAGTCCATAACACTTGAATAGTTGTGAGACTCGTCTCTTCTCTTCTCTTATTGTTTCTTTTGCTTTTATCACCTGAGTTCTTGCGTTGTGAGTTGTGGTACTGTTAGTGTTATTATCATATTGGACCTCCTGGCTCTTCACACATGCATGGTATAACGATTTGCTTATCTTATATAGTATATATATATATATATATGTGTAGATATACTAATTAAGTACGTTGATGTCTTTTTATGTTCCTACATTAGTCGTTGGGGATTTGGAGATTCCTCTCCTGACTATTCAAATATTTAGCTACTATCTACTCTCTTGTATCATTTTCTCTCCCCAATCAGTTTACTAAACCATTTTCTTAACTTTTTGTGTGGATAAAATACTACATTATTGATAGTTCTAAATATTCTAGACATCATTAAAAATATAATTAGTTTTTAATCGATTTCCCAAGAATATTTGTAAGAGTATTGGTTGAATTTTCAGAAATGTTAACGCTATTCAGAGTTAATACATTTTCTCGCAATAGATTGAAGTTTTGGCGTGCAAGAAACAAAGTTTTGCATTAAACTTTCAATAAACAGATTTCACAAGATGTGTCCCTCATAATTGCAATTTACAGGTCAGTATGCTTACTTACGCGTTAAACACACACATATATATATATATATATATATATATATATATATATATAATTAATTAATTAATCATAACTAAAAGATTTACAATTGTATATAAACCCATATAATAATTATTCTTACAATTATATAACTGGTGCTTTAGAAAAATATATTAGAATTATAGTGTAAGAATTTATACCAACTTAAAATATTAACATAATATTTCTAGAAAATTTTCAAGATAATGTGTAAAGTTATTAAAAAAAAGAGAAAAAAACATGGAGTATATATTTAAAGAAAAGACAGAGAAGGATTCCGTGTTAATGTTTGGGACCAACCTGCAAGATGGCGAGTCTAATGGTAAAGAGACCTATCTACATTGACATGCCTAAAGTCTTACTAACATTATTGACCTCAAATTCAAAAATACATAAATATCCGATATGGATGGTGTGGTTACTTTATGTGGCGCATTGACATCGGCTGAATCTGG